AACAGGAAGAAGGCTGAACAAGCCGAGGCGAGAGAGGCTATTAAGCAGTCAAAGGGCGAGGCAACACAGGCTGGCGGTGCATTGGGCCAGACTGGTGGACCTGCCAATCCCGTTGACAACTCGACACAGGGTGGTGGTAACTACCCCAACTCTAGCTACTAGGTTTTCACGGTCTAGATGCGGAGTAGAAGACGATGTCTTAGTTTGTGTGGGTTTCGAGAGTGAGCTGGCTATGGCTAGTACACCTGTATGCTTGAGACAGCAGGAGCAGTGCACACGATTTGCCATCATATCAATGTTCACCATCAGTCATACGACCCGTTGGTTTTGGAAGTGAACAAAAGTACACGAAGGCTTGTTGTTTGTGACCTGCCATATAGACGCCTTGCTGACGAGCATCTGGGTGATGATAGACATGACAACTGACAAAGGTGAGTAAACGCGTTGTCAGGAATGTATCCGGAGTAGACACACGAGCATAGGAGCACACATCCAGTTACTGTTTGTTGATATTGAAGACAAGGACTTGAAGATGGGTTAGAAAGGAAAGGATAGAAACGATCATCACACCAACGCAGACACGTTTATTTTGATTATTGTATTTTTCTTTCTTTGAAGCCCGGTAGCAATAGCTACGCGAGCATTAACGTTATGCGACAGTAACATCGGTACGTTATGTGAGCGCCCCTAGGGACAGCGTCACTCTCTATAAGCCCAGCAAATCGATACATCTCATATACGTCGACGTGCGTAAAAAGACGAAACCAAGAAAGCGCCATGATGCAGACCTACCACAGCTGCTCCATAGGAAGTCAAGCTGGTGGTCAATACATCGAACGCCAAAGATCGAAACAAAAAGCAAACGGCCCAGACCCAACGTTATATACATCAGCGACTCAAAGAGTCAAGCGAAAGGGGGGTGAGGGAGGAAGGAGGAAAAGGATACATGGGCTCAAGGACCCATGTACGCGTCGAACTGGAAATTACTCATGTCGGTCGGGACAGGGAGGTTGGGGTCGAAGAAGGTGGTGTTGTCAAACACCATGGGCTCATTTGCATGCATGTTCATACCGTAGTCCATGTATTGATTTGGGTCAATAGGGACCTGGTCCATCATGGGTACTTGCATGGGCATGGCCATGGGAAGCGGCTGTTGCGACGGAGGGTAGGCGGCAGCAGGAATAGCAGTGTTGTCGACTTCGTACGCAGAAGTGTCGAAGGTGTTGTCGATCTGTTCAGACGCGTCGTTGTCGGAAGCGCTTTCGGGCGACTGGGGGGTGGGCTTGTTGTCGACCTCCACCTCTTTGATCCAGTTTTGCTTGAGATACTCCATGGGCGGGTGGTCTCCGCCACCGATACCTCCACGCTTCTCGTCGTTCTTGCCCTTCCTGCCCCTCTTGCGGGGATGGAAGTGCGCACGGCGAAGGTGAGCGGCGGCGTTGTAGTACGCACCGTACACCTTCTTGTTACGGCAGTGCTTACAGTTGGCGAGGAACTTCTTGTCGGCTGAAGAGTCGACGCAGATGTAGCCCTTCCTGCGAGAGGCATGGGCGCGAGCAATGTGACGATCAAGCTCATGTGTGCCACGGAACCCATCGGGTCGCTCGTTGCAAAAGTTACACTTGATCTTTGGGTGTTGAGGACGCACGTACGGTGTCTTTGACAGGACACCGACAGTCTTAGAGGACCCATCCTCGGACCTTATCCTTGTCATCTGAGCATTGGATGACGCAGACTCGGTCGCATCATTGTTGTCGATTGCCTTCGGGGCAATCTTGCGAGACGCAGCTTGCGCGTTGATCTCGCGTTCGCGTTGCGATTGACGAGAGTTGGTCGATGAAGGTGCAGAGACCTCGCTCGAGTAACCCTCGCTTGATGAAGCTGAAGTCGACCTCCGCATATCCTCCGCCAGGCACGACTGATCGTTGTCGGAAGACGCAAGTGCATGCGCACTTGCAGGAACAGATGAAGAAAGGAAAGCTTCACTGGAGGAGCCAGTGAAGTTGAGAAAATGAGAACCATCAGCGGACTCGCTGATGGGCTTTGATGCGACGTTAAAGGAATAAGGAAATGACCCATCCTCTGGGAGGATGGGCATACATGAAGAATTTGACTGATTACGCGACATGGAAATGTTATCAAAAAACAGAGGGTTGTAACTACCCTGACGACTCATGTTACTAGATTGAGTAACAGGCGTCATCAGAGCGGTTGACGGTGTGCTGGGCGAAGAGACGTCCGAAGACGAACTCCACTGCAAGCTGGGGGTCAGTTGCAACTGTTGTGAATGCTGGGGGGTGGGGAGGGAAGATGAGTTGTCTGGCTGGATGCAGCTGCTGACGTAGTCGCCAACACTGTACTCAGCAATGCTGTTGTAAGCAGTCTCTGGCATCGACTGGAGAGTCGGCTGTCTTCGCATGGAAGTGTCAGAGTAGAGCGTGTAGTCGGTGTTGGACTCTTGGGACATTGAAGGCCAGTCAGAGTAGGTCGTGTTTGAGCGGTGTAGGTTGTCGGTCATGGCCGAGTCTGAGCGGTTCATGACGGGAGCAGAACGAGTCCGGTCCATTGATTCGAAGCCGGTTGTCTAGTGGGTGTTAGATCAGGGACGAGAAGACCAAAAATGTGTCCATACTGGGAGCTGGGTCATATTTGACGTGTTGAAGGCCATTGACCGTGGGACCTGGTGGGCCATGGAGGGTTGCGACGGTTGGCAGGCAGCCTGGAACCACGCGCGGTTTAGCTCCTCCTCTGAGAGGTGTGCGTTGCTCATGCAGAAGTCGTGCTTGGCTTGTTCGAGGAAGGCGACGTAGGTATTACTACTACTACTGCTACTACTCGCAAGAGTCGAGGCCATGACGTCTGAGGGGTGGTGGGATGGGATGGTAAGAATAGTGGTAGCGGTGTAAGAAGCAAGCTGGGCGAAACGAAGATCAGCAACAACGGCCAAAGAAGGGCTTGTCTGTGCAGGAAAATCTTACGGTGGTGGTAGATGGTGGTGGTGAAGAAGGAAGCAAATAGGGTAATGTCAGAATTGCGAGGCGATGAATAAGTGAGAATGCGGGTTGCGAAGGGGAAGATGTGCTTTTAGCACCACCTGGGTGCATGGGGGACGAGCGATGCGCTGGCTCGTGTCAGAGAGCGTCTGACGAATGCGGCCCGCGCTGAGCGGTGGACGAAGGGCCAAGGTGAGCTCAGAAGGGCTATCCTCGCCGGCGATCGATGCCATCCGTCTGACGTTTCATTGGACATAAAGGGGCGGACGCAATTTTCATTCGCTGCCTCACTTTTGGCACACGGAAGCCAACACCGTGGCCCTGGCCACTCGATCCTGGGGACTCCCCAGTGCTACCCTATCGTGAACCCACACTCGGTGAGGGACCACCAGGTTTCATGCGTCCATTCGCATTTGGCAAACTGTGCTGTCAGTGGCAGAGGCGTCACCCACACGTTTTTCCTCTGGCGCCGCGCCAATGTCCGTCTTATTCCCAAAGCGTCTACCGCACGGCTGAATCGCCAGCCATCAGTCGTCATCGCCCATGGGTACGCGAAATGCGGAAACGGCGGATCGCCATCAATTTTCTTCCTCGCGTTAGACATGTCAGCAGAAGAAGAGTCCAGGCTCAATGATCGTCTCCCATACTGGCAACCGCCAGCCCATGTGTCGTGAACTACCCGTTCAGGATGGCACCTCATCGCGATCACACCTTGGCAAAGCATCACCCCAGGTACCCAGGTACCCCGGCCTGAATCGTGGTACGCGGCTCATCTCCCTAAGGTTTGATTGATCCAATCTACACTATTGCTATCTTGGTCATGAACTTTCCATCTGCTGTCCGCGGCCTGCAGGGGACTTGAGAAAGGCTGCGCCAGGAAGGCCTGGTGATAGCAGTCCTCGCAGCCTGCTCCGCTTACGTTTTTCTGGTGGGTGCATAGAAACCACAGATGACGCGGACGAGAACGAGGACTTCAACCCGGGAGGACCTTGTGTGACACGGGGACCCATTGGCCCTACCTCCCTCACGCTTGATACGCTTGCCTTGCGGGCGACAAAGTCCTCCATTTCTTCATCCATGGCGTCGCTCATCTTTAGACTTTGTCGTAGCCAATACTGGTCAAAGGTGGCTTCAGTAACCTTTGCGACCACACCAAACTCCTCGAAAAAGATTACTATACTATCCAGCCCTGCGGAATCCGATGTTCGCCTTCCTGGCGAGTCTAGTTTGGGGTCAAACGTAAATGGGTCAAGCGTTGCGACAGAATCTCTGCGAAGCTTAGCTGGATGCTCTGCCAGCATGATGGCCCCGGGTAGATAAACTCTCCGCCGTTCAGCCGCGTCAACATCTCCACGTTGGTGTTTGCGCTTTAGCGTATGGTGGGCTTCTACGTTTGGCCGTGCGGAGGAGGGCGAGTGGGTTGTATGAGCAACAGGTCTGACAGACCGGACTGACTTCCGACCCCACGAGCGAGATGAGCGTGGACTACCTGAGGTTTCACTTGTCCCAAGCCGCTCTGGTGGTGTTGCGTAACATTCTCGTGGTGTTTCTAGCATCGAGCTGGGCGAGGTAGGCAATCTCTTCGACTCAAAGTCCGCCAGAGCAGTGTTCAGAGTGTTTAGCGTTCCAAGCTGCTTGTGTTTCACAGTCTCCTGCCCTCGTGATTTCTCGGGAAAGAAGCCGAGAGCACGCGTCGTACGATGAGGTGTCGCCTCGTTATCCTGGCATGATGGTGGTTTCGGCAATGCCTTGCGTGGTCCCAATCGCCCGTCCCTGGAGACCTTCTTGGTGTCCAAACAGTTCGCAACCCCCTCATCCGACTTCGGCCGCCGTCTCCTTATTGTGTTCGAGTAGCTCAACCTTACACTGATCGCTCGCCGTGGCTCCAGGGGTGGTGTAGCCTGTGCTTCAAAGCCACCGGGAGGTGCTGTCTGGGACTTCTTCTTCAACCGTGGCCGATCTATCATGCTCTCATCGTTGGCCCAGCTTTCTCTCCATTTTCTCTCCTCATATCTGAGCGTCGGTGACGTTACTCTGATTGTTGGTCTTACTGGCGACTCTAATTGCGTCGGCGAAGGAGGTGATCTCGGCGGGTTTCGTAGTTGTAGAGCGGCTTCGTTGCCTTCTTCTGCCGCTTCGTCTTCGGATGAATAAGAGGAGGGTGAGAACATCAAATCCCAGAGCCCGTCGTACATGCCTATGCTGATGTCGCTCGTAGGGCGGCCTGCGAAGTTTGCAGACGGCAGCATCTCGACGGGCATGTCATAGTAATCCTCTGCAGAGTGTGCCATGTTGCAACAATGATGATTAGAAGTGCAGAAGTGAACCAACAGATGCACATACATACACCTCGATGACGATAGCGTTGCTTAAAGGCTCCCTTTGTCTACACATGGCTGCACTGATCCTGCTGTTGCACAGACAGAGGCGGGAATGCATTCCGATATTTTGGAGGACAAAGAAAGGCATCCGTTTGGGGCGAAGCGCGTACATACACCTAGACAGGAAGTTCTCTATCCGCCAACATCAAGTCCGTAGCCCCGAACCTGATCAAAGCTGCTTACATTGGGGGTAGATTCCCGGGCTATAATCCTCTTTCAGCCCGAAATCGCCCCTTGCATATGCGCAGTCGCCGAGCCTCATCAGCACAACCACCAACGCGATCCTCAATGGCCGGAACATTTTCCACATGCACGCCGTCTATTTTCAGATGCCCTGCATATGCATGCGCTCATGGCATCTTCCTTGAACCGTGTGACGTTTCTTGAGGTACCGTTTGTTCCAGGTGTGCTACGTTTGCTGTAGTGTCCAGCCTTGAGTGGACATTCACGATACTGGGGAATTGCGAATAACTACGTTGCCTAGGAAGCCTGCTTGTACGTTGGGTTCTAGAGATCTTGTTCTGTACCTAGGTTGAGTACAATACGTTCGTCTAGGTAGTTGTGTACATTCTCGCGTACAGTTTTGTTTCATTAGAGTAAAAAACTGTACATACGTGATAGGACATAATTCTGCCATACTCTTTTGTCAATTCCTCTTATCGAAGTCCGAGTTACTTGACACAATGTGCAGTATCCGAAGACTCCTTCAAACCGCGGGAGTCTGGCTCAGCGATTTTGGGCCCGCGCACAGCATATGTGAACATGAATTGGTAAATGGCCTGATCATTGACAACACTTAGCAAATCGTATGAGGATCAAGCGGCCTCATATACTCGGACAGTAGACCGCTATGTCGCTCAAAGGCACGAAAAAAAGGCGGCCGAAAAGAGGATTTTGTACATATCATTACATTTATTTATGTATTAACGCCAGTCTATGACACTAGGTGTGCTTTGCCATAGACACTTGCTGTTATCATCACTAAAAGAGTCCTCTCCTGCTCACAACATGGGAGTCTCCTCCCTCTCGCCGATGACGTTGAGGAAAGCAGTGTGGACATGGCCAGTCAAGTCACTGGCTTGCAGCGACCTGCCCATCTCCTTGAACGCCAGCTTCGAGCATTCCCTAGTGATGCATGATCCACCATACGCCGCAAGAGCAAGCGTCTCGCTCCTTGACATCTCAGTGCCAATGTCCCAGATCTTGTCGTGGTATGCTTTCCTGTACGCCAACAGGGTCGCCAGACTGCCGGTAAGAGTATCACCCTGGCCACCAGAGCGCTTCAGACCACCCTCGCCCTCAGATACGAGTGTGTGCGAACCGTTGGAGATGTAGTCCTTGGCGCCCTTCTGGATGATGGTCACACCACCGAATGCCTTTGACAGCTTGGCGCACAGCTCTGAGGGATCACCTTCATCAACATTTACGCCCTTAGCCTTGGCTAGCCTTGCGAACTCGACAACGTTGGGTGTGAGAATGCATTCAGTGCAGCCGTCCACGAGTTCCGGCCTTGTCTGAGCGAGGTAGAGACCGTCTGCGTCTAGCACAAATGGGATGCCCTGTTTCCTTGCCTCCTGGATGACCTGTGCGCAGGTTTCTTGCATGAGTTCATCGCGACCAAGACCAGGACCAATGACAATGACGTGGAGACGTGATAGCATGGCTACTACTTCCGAGGTGATGCTGTCTGCGCTCTCGGACTTGGCGAGGTTCTTCGATTGACGCATGTATGGGTGTACCATGAGGTTGGGAGAATATGTCTTGATTACCGCACCGGCGCCGGGTTCGCAAATTACATGGGACTGCAGCCAGGTGAGTACGTTGTCTGATATGGCTTGATCTGGATGTTCCTACCATGTCGCAACCTAGCTTTGCGGATGCCATAGCAGAAAAGTAAGGCGCACCAGTGTAGTCTTCACTGCCACCAATGACAGCTACACGACCCAATTGACCTGTTCAAATGCATTAGAATCCATGTTGGAGGCTAGTATCATAGATCATTCCTTACCTTTGTGAAAGCTCTCGAGCATGGGCGGTACCATGTTGTAGACCTTCTTGAGCAGGTCTTTTCTAGTTGCGCTGGCCATCTTTAAATATTGTTCGGGGTGTCGATTGATGTATTGAGTGTTTGTACGACAAAAAGTATCGAGTCTCGATTGTTGTTAATAGCTGCGAGGAGCTTTGCGCGGCTATGGTTTTGTTATGGAGCTCAACGCGCGAAGAGTACGTCATAATGATAGCGGGGCATCCATTGCTCCACGCGATGCGCGCGCCACACATTACCATGATACATGCGCGGAGAGAACAAAGATATGAAAAGTAGTCAATGTGATCACTGTCGGAAACAGCAGCGGCATATTCAAGAGGTAATTCCAAGTGTTATCGATTGCTAAGACAGTCTCTTACTCCGCTAAAGCTCACTAATCTCTGAGAACCTATGAAAGAAGACGCATGTCGCAAAAAATAAGCCCGCATCTTCTCATCGGACCGCAATAACCCTGCTTGTTCAGCACTATATGTATATACACCGGTGACCCTATCGTCCAAATACGAAAGCTGGTGCGCCAGCTGTAGAGATAGCCGAACGCGTTTTGTAAAGGCATGCTCATACCAACCATCGCAAGCCGTTGCGCTTCAGTGTTGCAGTCAGGTTACTGCAGAAAGACGACCGCAACCGAGCCGAAGACGCCAGTTCCTTGCTCATTGCTCATGAGCGCGCCGCGTTTAGGTGGACGCATCATCCGTTGCCGCAGCAGCAGTCTCAGGCTCAGCAGTCGCCTTCTCGACGCCTTCTGCGCTCTTTTCAGCCTCTTCTTGCGCTGCAGGCGCATCCTTGATGACCTCTTTGTCGGCTTCCGACATTTGCACATCGCCATCCTCGTCAGCGGTCTTGGTAACGGCGGCATCGGTATTAGCATCGTCCTTCTTATCTTCCTCTGTGGTCTTCTCAGCAGACGGCGCCTCGTCTTTGGCAGACTCAGACTTCTCCCGATCTTCGCTCTTGACGCCGTTGGCAGCAGCAGCCTCAGGCTCAGACGCCAGAGCAGGGGTCCACTTGGAGAGAAGATCACTGGAGCGCTGCTTGAAGTGGTACTCGTCCTCCATCGGAATAGTTTCAAGCTTCTGAATTGCCCTCAGTACCTTGTGCACCTTGGTCTTCCTTATGACATCGGCCTCCAGATCCTCGTGAGCCTCAAGCTGCTTCAGGTACTCGTCCATGCTCGTCATGTCCTCGTCTTTTGGTTTCTGGTCGCGCGAGAGGAAGCCCTTTTGCAAGCGATGACGGAGGTAAAGAACTTGCTTCTCGCGCTTCACTAGTCGCTCCTCTTCAGTCATAGGAGCCTCCTCTGGTGTTTCGGGCGCAGCTTCCTCACTCGCTTTCTTCTTAGACTTGGGCTCCTTCTTGGGTTTCGCGGCCGAGGCGGCCTTTGGTGTCTTGCCAGTCGTCAACTTGATCTTGGGAGTCTTTACAGCCTGTAAGCAAATTAGAGTGCGTAAATCGACGGGTATATGCGGCGCATACCTTCTCGTTCTCGCCATCGCTCTGATCATCCTTCTTGCGCTTCTTAGTGGCCTTCGCCTTCTTTGCAGGGGCAGCATCGTCGCCAGCTTCTCCCATCTCAACGTCTTCTGAGTCGTCAGGGGCTGTGCTTTTACGCTTGGCTGACTTCTCAGCCTTCTCCTTCTTCTTTTGCTCCTTCTGCTCCACGTCTTCTTGCATCGCAGATTCGTGGGCAGCCAGCATCTCCTTGAAGTGTGCCAGATCGTGACCCTCAGCCGCGATTTGATACGCTTCCCAGAGCTGCTTGTTCTTCTTGCCTTGGTTGCTGGACTCCACGTCCTTCTTCACCTCCTCGATGTCGAATGATAACAGCTCAGTGTTGACCTGCCATGCGAATTCGTTGGTGCCCAGGAACATGACCGGGTACCTCCGATCCTTAGCGTTTTTGCCGCCCTCGAGAAAGTCTTCGCGATATGTACCGTCAATGCGCTTAGCACTGACAGGACGTTTGCTAAGCAGCGACTCTGGGAGCATTTGTTCATCGCAAACAATGACTGGCCATGGCTGGTAACCCCGCATGGCGACCATGAACATGTCACCAGGCGAGACATTCAGACGCAGCTCAGGGGGCGGCTTCTTTCCCTTCTTGGCCGGTGTCTTCTTCTTGTGCTCGGGGACACCTGCGCCTGATTTGCGCTTGCCGTTGGCAGCCTTCTTCGGTGCTGGAGTGCCATTCATTGCTGGCGCGTCGGAGGCAGGGGCGGCATCTGAAATAATAGGTTAGTACGCGATTGTAATACGCTGGTAGCCCGAGGCTCGAAATCAAGCGTGGCTGGACTTACCTGCGTCGTCGCTGGCCGTGGTTGGCTCTGCCTGCGCGTCAGCAGTGACGTCTTCCTTCGCGGCATCGTCTTTTTGAGCAGCGTCGTCTTCGGGAACTAGTTCGCGATCGCGTTAGCTACTGCGCCCTGTAAATTTTACGAGCAGGCTATTGGTTACCTTCGGCGACACCTGAGGTGGCTATGACACCGTCCTCAGCCGGCTTGGCCTCAGCGACAGCAGGCTCTGCAACAGCGTCTGAAGAACGCGTCGGCAACTCAGCAGTGTTGGTGATGTCCGCAGACACGGGTGGGTTGGCCTCGTCCGCCATTGTGCGAGTCGAGCTCACGCTTGTACGATGTCGTGTCGACGCGTAAGGGAGGCGCAGATTCGCGAATTACCTCGTCGATGTGTCGGGCGCGATGGCAGTGTCGCGTGATTGATGGTCGACCGGGTAGATCGATGGTGCGCGGTGGGTGAGGTGGTTGGGTCGTATTGTGGTGGTGTGGGGAGGGCAAGAAAGAAGAGATCGGAGACGCAACTCTTGAACTTTCCAGCGACGCCAGGCGCAGCACGTGACGTTCTTCGG